ACCGGCATATATACCGACATATATACCGGGACAGGGACACACCGGCATATATACCGGCATATATACCGGCACACACACCGGCACCGGGACACACACCGGCATATGTACCGGCATATATACCGGGACAGGGACACACCGGCATATATACCGGGACAGGGACACACACCGGTATATATACCGGCATATATACCGGCACACACACCGGCACACACACCGGGACAGGGACACACACCGGCACCGGGACAGGGACACACCGACATATATACCGACATATATACCGGCACCGGGACACACACCGGCATATATACCGACATATATACCGGCACACACACCGGGACAGGGACACACCAGCATATATACCGACATATATACCGGCGCACACACCGGCACCGGGACAGGGGCACACACCGGCATATATACCGGGACACACACCGACACCGGCACACACCGACACCAGGACCGGGACACACACTGACATATACACTGGCACCGACACACACTGACACTGGGACACACACACCAGCACCGGGACACACCGGCACCGACACCAGGAGCAGCACCGACACACACCGACACCAGGACACACACCGACACCAGGACACACACCGGCACCAGGACACACACCGGCACCAGGACACACCGGCAGCGGCACCGGGATAGTGCCGGGATCAGCTGCACCACCACCGGGAATCTCTCTGGACCACACCGGGATCAACCCCCGGCATCACCGGGGCCACACCGGAATCAACCCCGGTGTCACTGGGTCCCCACTGGGATCAGCCATGGGATTGCCGGGATCAGCCGCAGCACCACTGGGTTGGTTTTGGAACCATATCAGGATCATCCCCGAGATCACCCCCAGGATCACCCCCAGGATCACCAGGGTCACACCAGAATCAGCCACGGTGTCACCAACATCCCATTGGGATCAGTCATGGGATCACCAGGATCAGCTGCAGCACCACAAGAATTTTTTCAGGACGTATCAGGATCACCCCCAGGATCAGCAGCAGGACTGCTGGGATCTCTTTGGGGTCAGCCACTGAACCACTGGGATCCCTTCAGGATCACACCTGGATCACCCCCAGGATCACCAGGACCACAACAGACAGCTGGACTGCAGCAGGATCAGCCACAGGATCACCAAAATCTCCCCAGGATCACTTGGACCATACTGGGATCACCCCCAGGATCACCGGGGCCACACCAGCACCCGGCACAGGATCCCTGGGATCTCCTTGGGATCACCCCTGGAATCTTCAGGATCTCACCAGGATCAGATGGGAGATCACCAGGATCACACCTGGATGAGCTGCAGCACTGCTGGGATCACCAGGGCTACACCTGGATCACTCATGGAACCACCAGGATCTTCCCGGGATCTCCTCAGCATCACCCTGGGATCACCCACAGGATCACTGAGATCTCCCCAGGACCACACCAGGATCTCACTGGTGTCACCTCTGGGATTGCCAGGATCAGCCAAGGGATCACCAGGCCCTTGGATCACCCATGGAACACCAGCACCCCTGGAATCTGGGATGATCTGCCTTCCTGGCATCTCCCATACCCTGGGCCACTGGCACACCGGGATCATCCATAGTCCAGTATCAGCAGCCCTGGGATCACCCACCCCCCATGGATCATTCCCAGGATCACCAGCACTCCCAGATCACCCCCGGGATCACCCACACCCCCAGACACTGGCACCACAGGACACCAACACCTCTGGAATTCCCAGAACACAGGGATCACTGGCAGCCTGAGATCTCCTCCAGGATCACGGGCACTCCCAGGATCACACCCTGGGATCACGGCCTGGATACCAGCACCACTGGCACCACATTCCCAAGGCTGCTCCTGCCCCCAGGCTGGGGGGGATCCCTGGGATGTTCAGAGAGAAATGTCCAAAAAACCCCTAAAAACTCTCTTTTGCTTTCACAGGTCATTTCCCAGCTTCCCAAACCCTGGGAAAGCTCCTCCAGGGAGCTCAGCCCAGGAGACCCACCTGTTTTTGGGATGTGGTAGGACCTTCCTGCTCACACAGGAGCCTCCAAACCACAGTTGCAGCTTCCAATATTGAGATTTTTCAGGATTTTCCCAGATTTGGGAGCACAGCACGGGCAGCAGGGACCCACAGGGATTGGGTGGGAAGCAGGGGAGGGGTGGATGGACAAAGGAAAGGCTTAGATCCGATTGTGTGGAAGTGTTTTCTTGGGAAATCCAGCCTGGGTTGAATTTCCAGCAACTTTATGAGCCTTTGGAAATAGATAATTCCAAAGGAAAGGTGATTTCTGGGCTGTTCTCCAACTCCCTTCTGGGAAGCAAGTGGTGTTATGGGAATAGAACCAAACTGAACACTGTGGAATTATTAATTTTCCCAATGTTCCGTGGAAATGGAGCGTATGGAAAACCTCCAACCTGAGATGCTTGAATTCGGGATGATCCCACCATGGCTGGGGCTGTTTTTGGCAGTGGGATGTTCCTGATGGCCATGGAGCACTTTGGAGATTTCAGCATCATAATTCCAGCTTCCCAAATAATTTTGAGGGAGCTGGGGGGGCTCAGCCTGAAGAAAAGGAGGCTCAGGGGGGACCTTCTGGCTCTGCAACCCCCTGACAGGAGGGGGTAGCTGGGGGGGGGTTGGGCTCTGCTCCCAGGGAACAAGGGACAGGAGGAGAGGGAACAGCCTCAAGGGGAGGTTTAGGTTGGATTTTAGGGAAAATTCTTTTCTGGGAAGGGCTGTCCAGCCCTGGCACAGCTGCCCAGGGCAGGGGTGGAGTCCCCATCCCTGGAGGGATTTCAAAGGCCTGTGGATGTGGCACTTGGGGACATGGTCAGTGGTGGCCTTGGCAGTGCTGGGGGAACAGTTGGACTCGATCTTGGAGGGCTTTTCCAATCCAAACCATTCCATGATTACCCATAAATTGTTTCATTCCCTTCTCCAGGCGGATCCAACCAGCAAAGACTTGTTGCTCCAACAGCAACAAGCCCAGGAGACCAGTGGCTCCAGCACCAGGAGAGAGGGAGGTGGGAGCAGCCTGGGTTGTCCAGAGGCTCAGGAAAACCAGGGGTGTTTGAACTCCCTGGCTCGTGTCCCGTGCAAACAGCGGGATCGATTCCCAGTGACTGTCCCGACCTGCACAAAGGTTGGATGCTTTGATTTTCCCAGTGTTTATTTTTACAGATCGATGGTGGACACAAGCACGAGGCACTTCTGTGAGCTGGCATCCCTCAGGGAATGCTGGGGTCCAGGCTGAGCCCAGCCTGCTACAGGATGCGCAGAGAGGAGGGGGGTTTGTTCTTCCCGGCGGCCCTGACGATCCCGGGCTTCCTGCGCATCTTCTGCAGGGCCAGCATGGTCCTGTCAAAGGTTTGCTGGGAACAGGGAACACAAAGGGATCAGCTTGGATTTCAGAGCACAGTTCTCACCTGTAAGAGCTTTTTACCTGAAAAATAAAACCAAACCCCTTCCCAGCCTTTCCAGGTGGTGCTGGGAAAAGCTGGAAAAATCCCCGGCACACCAGCGTTGCTCTGCCAGTGGTAGGTCCCAGCAGGCTCCAAGGAGGGCACAACAAATCCTGGGAAATTCTCCTGAGCACTGAAAAGCTGGTTTTGAAATGTTTTCATGGAATCCAGAACAGTTTGG